TTCACGCGCCGTCGCCTCCGATAGAGATCCAGCTTCACGCTAATATGCATGACTGGAATATACTTGTTTGCTCCGCATTACGTCGCTGCGTCGCTATCTTGACAAGGAGCTGAACTCAAATTAAAGCCACTACTTGGCACTTTGCATGCTCCATAGGTATTAAGTCCAGATATGTCTAGAAATGGTGATTGGTGGTGGTGGTAGTGGCGGCGGTGGCCCAGACAAGACATATCGCCGCTGAGTATGCCATCTCCAGCACTTTTTAATTCGATGGATTACATGCAAAGCCGACACCTTTATAGTCAGACCTAGCAATCAATGTTGCATCAAATCACCTAACATTCCCTCTGACCATCCCACTTAACTATCAAGAGTTTTCCAAATGGGCTTGACAACTATCACGTGTTAAGAGCTTAGATAACGCGACGGTTTGTTCGAATAGTTTTAGGCCGACAGGAAAATGAAGCCGACGGCGTTAGTGGGACAACGGAAATTTACGATGGGCAAAATCGAATTTCAAGACCCGAACCCTAACACGAAGAGTGTTGCTGCCTTTTAACTGTCTCGACTCTCGGCTAGTTGAGTCCGACAAGATTCACTCCGTGCCTTCTTTTTGTTCCCGAATGTATTTCCGAAGCTACCTTTCTTCGTAACATACTTCAACTTTCCCCCCGAAGTTGACAGATGGGCGATAGATTACCAGCTCTTTCTCACGACTTTATTATTTGTAAAGCAAACAGTAATCTCATCACAATCATTATAACAGTAGTAGTAAATGCCCTAAATGGTGCATCCGCAAAAGAACTAAAAGCAAAAAAATAAAGTTGTCAGTATATTTTAATTTGAGTTTTTGCATTTCTGCATGGGTTCTAGCTAATTTTCCGGTTGGATCTACTAGGGCCATTCCGTGAATTCAACGCAGCATCGGTTTGTCCGATTTGATTGGTTATTTTATTCAAAACAAAAGATAAAGGATCACGGTCTGGTGGGTGAACTATAAAATTTAGTGAACAGTGGAATGATGTTGCTTTCGGAAGAAACCAGATTGCAATTTACAAAGCCGAAAGGAAACAACCAAACATGTTTGAAGATGATCATGTGCTTGAGGAGTGGGGTCTTGTCTTGTGGTACACAATAAAGTTGAGAAAATTACCATAAAGTCATAAACCTATTGTTCGAATGCCAATTTAATCCTTAAACCTTTTAATTTGATCAATTTAGCCTTACACTTTTTAACGATTGGTCAACGTAATCATTCCGGCTGATTTTGACACGAAAATTGCTTACATGGGCATAGGCTATCCTACATGACACAACCGGCATTGATGTGCACCATTTTTGTAATTTTTTTTTATAATTTTCTCAATTTTTTTCTTTTTTTCCCTTTTCTTTTCTTTCCTTTTTTTGTTTTTCTTATTTCTCTCCGACGGTCCGTGGCCTCGGCGGTGGTCAGTGGAGGTTGCTGACCACAGGTGAGGGCTGAGAAGCCCTTATCGACCCTCACTGGCCCAGATTTGGCAAGGGCGTGTGAGGGGCCGCGAACCCTTGCCCAGTGGCCGGTGAGGGCTTTGAACAAGCTATGACGTCCTCGCTTGTGAAAGAAAAGAAGAGAGAAAAAAAAGAAAAAAATCAGAAAAATTATTTAAAAAATGATAGAATTGTTCATGTCAGTGTCAGCGGTGTCAAGTAGTGCTGCCCGATATCCATGTTAGTGATTTCCAGCCAATTATCTCCAAAAAAGGTTAATACCAACAAAAATCCTATATCATGTCCTTGTGAAATTTTTTTTTTGTTTCACGTTGGTACAAGTTTGAGGTAGTTAGTATTGCGGTAGGCAACATTTAGAAATTATTATGATAAACATAAGGTCTTTTTGTCACACTGATACAAGTTTAATGGTTTGATCGGGCAAAAAAAAGTTTTTGGTGTTGATATCTCCGTGGACATAATTTAGGGTTTTTGGTGATATTTTTCCTATGAAGAATGTGATAAGACAATGAAGAATTCTAGCAAAAAATCAATGTTATTCTTAGAGACGATTTATTTAGTGATGCGTGAATATAATTTTAACAAGGACGGAGCCTCATGTAGCCTATTCACATGGGTTTTTCATTTTTTTTTTTGGTTATACGTAATCTCGGGTCTTTGAAAGGTTAAAGTAGCTTGGAAAACACTTACAATTTTCTAAGCATTTTGAAGTACTTATAATTTCGTAATTCGGTCGGCCATCAGCTCTCGAGCATAGCCCGCACGGATCAATTCACTCGTATTACGATCTATGGAGTTGGCTTACATGCAAGGGCCTCTTCACGCAAATATTGAAATAGACTGAATAACGATCTAGAGAAATGTTGTAATTTCCTAGATCTTATATAAGCAAAATAGCAACTATATTTAGTATTTCTCAATATAATCTCGAGCAAAATACAACGACCTATTTACTAAAGAAAATTTGATTTTCGAACCGGTAGAGTAACATCTAGATTTATTGACATCCTAATTTGTTCAAACATATAGTGACTCTATTTGTCGTACTATTCAATAACCGCAAATATTGTCGTGGTGCACCGGGGCACCATCCTTCTCATGGCACGCTCATTTAAAATGGGATTTTCTTCACGTTGAATACAATAAATTATGCTTAAATGGGAAAACTACCACTCTTGACATTAATGCACATACTTCTATTTACATTTGAGACATGCTTCATGGCGACAGTAGTGTCTCAGACCCGAAAGACGATTAAAAAGAGTTGGGCAATTTCCGCACTCAAGAAAGTCATGTTGGGAGCGCGCGGCAGAAACTCGATATATTCACTCAGGAAATCACCAAAAGGGAGCTCAAATCCGAGTCTATCAATTTATTCAGCTGAATTTACTTTCAATTAATAGTTTACGTCAATGAGTTATAAGTCAATTTGAATATATTAATTACTTTACATTATATCAATTTTTTTTATGCGAGACTTTTCTAACATGACAAATTCCGGCCCAACTTGACCAATACTTGACACCCGATCTTCCGGATCACCTCGAGCCCGCCACTATGCACGACTAAAGACATGGTGATGTCTCGTTGCTATATTTGTACTCCCGTGGGAGCCCCACATGCATTACTTTCAACTGTAGTCTTGTCCCGAGTCCGGCATTGTAGGCAAGACTTTATGGTCAGATGAAGTCACGAAACTTTTACAAATTCCGAGGATTCGTTGGTCGAGAATCGATGACCATTGAATCATAAATCTTCAAATCATTTAAACTTTTACGGTTTCCGAGGATTCATTGAAAGCTTTTGAATATTTGTGAGATGTCTAAGTGGCATTCACTGATTGGGAACACAGGAAAGCTGAATTTATCGTTAATATTAAGTGGATAAACACAACGAAAAAAAAGAATTAAAAAAAGAAAAAAATCAAGACACAATATTTATTTTGATTCACTTTTAAATTAGGGCTATATCCAGTAGATGATTTTACTATAATTAGCACTTCTCATTTCTCTATTATAACTATCAATTACAAAAAAAAGAGATTACATATACTCAGTATCTATTCATGGATCCAAGTCCAAATTATCAATAAAATATAAACCCAAATTATGAAAGCCATCTGGATAGAGAGTATGACCCACACCCCATGCTTTCTTGTCAATGGGAAGTGTGAACCATACCTCAACATTTATCCAGTAACAGAAGATCTTCCTCCTTTCTATAGGGACAAAAAACCAACCTAGGAGTTGATAAGAATACATATCCATCTATCCCTCAAGAGGGAGCCATGCGAAACCAAAGATTATCTTAGGAAAATAAAAAACAAAACCCAAAGTTATTGAAGAGATCATTTCTAGGTATTATTCGTTGGCCACAGTCGGCATTCATCGACGATGTAAAATCAAAATCACTATTGTCGTTGTTACTATTTGCAAGAAATATTTCTTCACCTTTTGGTTTAACTATACTAACAATCGAGGTCGGCTGGTTTTGTGATTGGGCTATTTTCACTTACAAATGCAGGAAGAGAAAATCATTTCACTATGATTTGTAAGGAATTGCAAGGGAACCAAATCGAAATTCTCTTCTATCCAAATGCTTAATAGCAATTATTAGGATTAAAGAATAGAACATTTTCATATAGCTTAGGGACTACATTAAATATGTATCAATAATTCAGAGACCACATTGAACAAATTAAAAGTTCATTAATCATATTGCATATTGAGCCAAAGTTCAGAGATAATTTGTGTCATTTTTGCAAAAAAAGAAAAAAGAAAATTGAAGTTCCTAATGAAGTGGGCCCAGTTATGTACACGTGATTTGTATAGATCTTACGTGGCACTTGATCACCCAATATTTTTCTCAAATAGCGTCCTCATAAACAATAGGCCATTGAATTCACACATATGGAAGGATTGACTTTAGAGAAGTTCGAAAACCCATCACTAATCCTTCCAAAAAAAATTTCTGGAATTGTTATGTCCTCCACGAATGGGAGACAATCCACGGACACAAACTTTCTTTGCCCTCGAATTAATTCTTTTCTTTTAAAAAGAATTCTTCACGTCAAAAATTCATAGAAAACTACAAGAAGACAATTCTTCACGTGGAGATTGTATCTATGCTGGCTGGCGTTGACTAGATCACCACTAATTCCCATGGAGCTTATGACTGGATATGAAACATCCACCTCGCTTGAACTCGCTTTGATTGACCCAATCAACTCGGCCAGGGCTGACAGAGATAGACCCACCCTTACTCAGGGCGGGAGCGCGGCCACCGCGGCGTCTCGCATGGACAATTTTCCTTCCACAAATATATATATTATGTCCGTACCACCAATGAAAATGGCACTTAAACATTTCACCGTACACTTGCTAACTCGAGAAAAAAAATTCCCACGAGAAACCGAAGGATTAACTTTAGTAAAGATAAAAAATCCATTGCTAATCCTTCCATTTGTGATAACAGCATGTTTTAGATCCCAAAAAAAAATTATTTAATTATGAATTATTGTGAGTCCATTCCTTCAATAATTTGTGATTTACAATATGCTGTTATCCCCACAGTGATCAAAAGCTGTAATGCTAGCAAAACTCTTTTAAATTCTAAAACTACTGTATTTCTGCGGACGCGAGACCATCCACATACTTCAAGTGGAAATCGTGACTGTGCTGGCGCTGCCCAAATCACCACCAATTCCCATGGAGCTTGTAACCGAGTTGGAAACATCCACCTCGCCCGACCCGGCTTTGAATGACTCGATCAACTCAGCCAGGGCTGATCGGGACGACCCGCCCTTGCTCAGTGCGGCTGCCGCGGCGTCTCGCATGGCCAGGACTCGATCCCTCACTGCCCTCCCTTTCTCCGATCGCATCAGCTCATTGACTCGCTCCTCCAGCTTGTCCGCCGAGACGAGTCCGTCGTCCTCCGATTCGGTCACAGACAGAGCCAGCTTCAGCTCCTCCACCAAGTAGGCCCTATTCAACCTCTGCTCCGCGTAGAGAGGCCAGGCCAGCATGGGCACACCACGGCACACCGCCTCGAGCACCGAGTTCCACCCGCAGTGCGTCACGAACCCGCCCACAGAACCGTGGCTCAGCACCTCCACCTGCGGGGCCCACGACTCCACTATCATCCCCCTCCCATTCGTCCTATCCACAAACCCTTGGGGCAGGAACGACTCGACGCTAGGCTCGAGCTCGGCTAACGTGCGCCGAGCTTCGTCGTTAGGCGGCGGAACCCGCACCACCCACAAGAACCGCACTCCGCTCATCTCCAACCCTACTGCCATTTCCTTCAGCTGCCTCGTTGAGAACGCACCCATGCTCCCGAAGCTCAGGAACAGCACACTTCGGCTCGGTTGCGAGTCGAGCCAGCCCAAGCACTCGTGCCTCTCGCCACCACCTTCGATTCCTCCGCCTGTCGCCACCAGTGGCCCAACACAGTACGTCGGAGGAGTGGCTCCGTCCGGCACGCAGTGGCCGTCCCTCAGAGCCCTGAGAGCACTGGCTTCGAGTGAGTCGAACGTGTTGACGATGATGCCGGCCGAGTTCGCCATCTGAACCGCCGTGTCCAAGAAATGGCTATAGACCTTGAGGCTCCGATCGCTGATGGCCATGGGCATGTCTCGGGGCGAGACCGGAGGGAAGCCAGGGATCTGAATGGGCACGTTGAGGTCTTTGAAGCTCTCGGGGTACTTCTTGTGGAGAGCGGGAATGTAGAGGAATGAAGCCAACCCGCTCGCGCCGGAGGTGTAGTAGTAGTAGGTAGGGATGTTGAGGGAGGTAGAGACGCCGAAAGCGGCGTTGCAGAAGAAGTCGATGACGAAGGCTTTGATGTCGGAGGACCTGGAGAGAGAGAGGAGGGTCTGGTGGAGCGTCGGGTTTTGGAGGCGGACGATCTCGAAGGTGGAGAAGATGAAGTTGGCGGGAGAGGAGGAGAGGTGGTCGGTGTTGGGGAGGGAGACGGCGGGGAGATGATGGAAGGTGATTGAAGGGTGGGAGGCGGAGACGGCGGCGACGAAGTGGGTGTCCGGAGGTGGGGTGGAGAGGAGGAGGACGGTGACGGAGAAGGAAGGGCGGTGACCAAGGATGCTCTTCGCGAGCTCCACCATGGAGGCGAGGTGGCCTCTTCCGGGTGAAGGGTAGAGGACGATGGAGCCGTCCATTTGGTGTGGGTCGAGAGTGACGGATGCGGCGGCGGAGATACGGCGGAGGAGGAGGCGGTGGCAGAGACGGAAGAGACTAGAGAGGTTGTCTTTGAGTGGGTGGGTTGCTGTCTGACTGCACTGAAGGGGGAAGGGAGGCAGAAACGAGAACGCGGTAGCCATCATTTATAGCATGAACTAGTGGTGCAGGACGACTCCGCGGCTCTCTCTCTCGAGAATGCTTGTTGTCTTATATATTTGTGTCTACATAAGAAAGAACAATATTTCATATAACTCTCCTTGTCGGAAAGAGCGACCTTTCATATTTGAAATTTTCGTATTTTTTAATATTTAAAAATTGATTATAATGATTATGAGCATTCTCAATTTTTAAATATCTATATGTGGAACTTTAGTAAGATCATTTGAAATTTTACGTTAAACATGTTTCATAATACTTCAAAAGAAAAATGAAAAAGGAAACTACCAAGAAAGTCAAAAAATTACTTTTTGTTGTTTAAAATAAGTACGGCTCATGATTGATATTTTCCGTCAATGTAGTATATTTGAACTATATCACATATTTTGAATAAGGAAAAATTGTCAGAAAAGTCCTGAATCTTTTTTTGATGTCAATTAAGTCCTAAACTTTTTATTTTTGTGTCAATTCAGTTCTTCCGGCTAATTTTGGCCGGATTTTGCTGACGTGGATGTCGAATAGTCTACGTGGCACCACCGGCTCTGACGTGGATAATTTTAAATATTTTTTAATATTTTTTCGATTTTTTAATATTTTTTCTGATTTTTTTAGGCGAGGCTCGGCCGACCCTCGCCAGATCCAGCTAGGGTTGGCCTCGCCAGATCCAGCTAGGGTTGGCCTCGCCCAAGCCTGATCTGGCAAGGTCGGCCCTCGCCCAAGCCACAGCGACCTCACCGAGCGTCGGCCGGGCCTCGCTTGTGGCGGGCGACGGCGGCCTCGCCCTGGCAAGGCTAAGCGGCTGGCCAAGGCCGGTGTCCGGTCACCGGCCAGGCCAAAGGTTTAAGAAAGAAGGAAAATAAAAAGGCAAAAAAAGAAAAATATGTTATTGAAAATTATCCACGTCAGCGCCGGCAGTGCCACGTAAACCGTTTGGCGTCCACATCAGCAAAATCCGGCCAAAATTAGCCGGAATGACTGAATTGATACAAAGACAAAAGGTTTATGACTCAATTGGCATAAATGCAAAAGGTTTATGACTTTTCTGACACTTTTCCCTTTTGAATAATGACTTTTCTCAACAAGTATACATTAGAAGTAAGGTTGCCTATACGAAGTGTTTACATTCACCGACACACAAAAACTTACGCTTAGCTTTGAATCATTTGATATCTTCATATTAGCGACCTATCCATGCAATATCAATGGAAGATGAAAGATCATTATTTACTTTCGGGAAAATTCCAAATCAGTACTCAAAGTAGGGCAATTTTCTCAAAAAAGGGTCCAAAATGGACATAGTATCAAATAAAGGCATGAAGTGCCCAATCAGTCTCAAATAAGGGACTGAAGTGCCCAATTAGTCTCAAGTAAGGGCCTGAGTTCGCCGGCTGGTCAAATGCTCACCGGTCAGCGAGCACGTCACTGTTCCGATCGTTGGAATAAGGGCAATTTTGTTTTTTACTTTTTAAAATTTTTTTGTTTCTTTTTTCCTTTTACTGATTTTTTCTTTCCCTTTTCTTGTTTTTTTTCCTCTTTTCCCTCTACCGGCCATAGCCGGGGTCGGCGGAGGTTGCCGGCCTCAGGCGGAGGCCGCCGTCGCTAGGGGCGGGCGAGGGCCCAGCCCAGGTGAGGGTTGCCGTCGCCCAACGCCAGTGAGGGAAACCTAGGGCCGCCCTCGCCGGTGTTGGGCGAGGACCGCCCTCGCCTGGGCTGGGCGGGCGAGGGCAACCCTCGCCCAACACCGGCGAGGGAAACCTAGGGCCGCCCTCGCCGACATCGAGCGAGGGTCGCCCTCGCCCACCTAGCCCAGGCGAGGGCAGCCTACGCCTGAGGCCAGCAACCTCCGCCGGCCTCGGCTATGGCCGGCGGAGGGAAAAGAGGAAAAAGAAAAAGAAAAGGGAAAGAAAAAAATAGTAAAAGGAAAAAAGAAACAAAAAAATTTAAAAAGTAAAAGACGAAATTGCCCTTATTCCAGCGATCGGAGCAGTGATGTGCTCGCCGGCCGGTGATCATTTGACCTGTTGGCGAACCCAGGCCCTTATTTGAGACTAATTGAGCACTTCGGGCCCCTATTTGAGACTGATTGGACACTTCAGGCCCTTATTTGACACTATGTCCACTTTAGACCCTTTTTTGAGAAAATGACCCCACTTTGGGTACTGATTTGAAATTTTCCCTTTACTTTCAGAAAGCATTGCTTGTTCTTCTTGCGTCAATATGATGTCAAAATCTCATTTCGATTTTTCTTTGTTATATAATCTAGAAAGGATCTTTAGATTTACGAAGCGGCAAACCTACAAGCAAGTCCGCGATTTCACGACACAAGAATCACTTTTCCTCTGCTTGTTACGACTAGCTGACTATTTTTTTTTTTTTGGTCAGATGACTAGCCAAAGTTTGAGCCATTGTTTATGTCATTTTTTAGGAGACTAGCAAGTATCACTTAGAGGGGGTGAATAGGTGATTCGAGTACTTTTTGATCAATTTAAAGTAGAAATAATTGATCATGGGCAAAGTCTGAACAATGTTCAGTTTTTGAACAAATTTTGAACGGCAAATAAGTAAATGTGCAATTAACTAAATAAAAAGAGTTTTAAAGAAGAGAAAAATTGCACACAGATGTATAGTGGTTCGACTTAGATCAAGTCTATGTTCACTCTTCCACGCTGACAGCCTACTAGCTGAATTTCACAAGATGATCAATTAAGAGATTACAAATTCTGAGTTATGACTTTTTTGTGAAAGATAGGTCACTATATCTCACTCAATCACTCTTACAATAGATTTCTCAATATCACAGATTTTGGCTTAAGAAGGACAAGTTACATTGGTCGGAGTTTGCTCAGACTTTGGAATAGATGATTATGGATATTATCTCTCTACTTCTGCTCCTCGACAATTTGTCTCATTTTATACTTCTCCACTTTCAAACTAGTCGTTGGACAATCTTCAAAGGATCATATTCCAATCTTCACCTTAGACAGATTTATATAAAAATGATTGAGTAGCCGTTGAGTGACAAAGTTTGAATCATGCTAGATGTGGTCGCTCATACAGCCAGAACTTTGGTTTCCATAAGTAGAGCTTCTCCATTTAGAAATAAACTTGTCATGGGTTTGATTGTCAATCAATTTAAGATATTTCGCGATGTAAATATTCCTTCCAAAATAGCCTTTTAAGATTGAATCAATCAATTCTTTCCATTGGTGAAATCAAAGCCAGATTACTAGCCGTTGTTCTGAGTTTGTGATAACATCTGGATAGATTCCGATTCCTATCTTGCGCTCAGAACTTGAGTCAGAATGATTTGTTCTGTAAATTCTGAATCTTTTGATTCCAATATATAAACTGAAGTTCTTCAATTGCCGTGTACAAAGTCTGAACTTTGTTTTTTTGCGGTGCAGGACCTGAACTTCTCCTTCTGATTTATGTAAAGTCTGGACTTCTAGTATATAACTTCCTAGACTTAGAATACTTCAAAAGCATATGTCAGACTTACTCATGGATAATTTTTCGACATCAAAATCTATTACGAAGTTTTCCCAACAATTTTCCCTAATTGTTTAAGCGACAAACAAAGCAATGCGGTTAAAAAGTCCACACCGTTAGAAAACAAATCTTGTTTTAGGCCTAATTCTCTAAAAAAATCCCCAATTTTAGGTCCAGTCCCAAATTTGCTTCGAATTTTTTTTTATCTAAGAAAAAACCTCAAACTTTGGGTCCAATCCTAAATCTATCCCTAACTTTGTTTTTATCTAAAAAAAACTCCCGACTTGTTCTAGTCTCAAATCTGCCTCGAATTTTGTTTTATCTAAAAAAATCACTAAATTTCAATCTATTCTCAAATTTACCCCCTTGGTTTAGTCCCAACTTGACGTGGCACTTTCACGTCGATAACAAATCCACATAAGCAAAGTAATGGGGTTTTTTTCTAGACAAAGAAATGTTCAGGGTAAATTTGGACTGAAGCTAAAGTTTGGATTTTTTTTTAGGTCAAAAAAAGTTTTATTGGGGTGGATTTCTTATTGACCCTAACTTTCATAACCTAGAACGGTATTATTTTGGAGAATTTTAACAATTTTTATTAGATTGGATTTGTTATCGAAGTGGAAATGTGACGTCGGTCTATACCTATCATCCCATTACTTTGCCGATGTGGATTGTTATCGACATGGAAATAACACGTCAACTTGGGACATAATCACTGGGTATATTTGAAAATAGATTGAAAATTGGTGATTTTTTTTAGACAAAATAAAATTCGGGGTAGATTTGGGATTGAGCTTAAAGTTTGGGATTTTTTCTGAGATAAAAAAAAAGTTCGGGATAGATTTGGGATTGAACCTAAAGTTTGGGGTTTTTTCCAAGATAAAAAAAAAATTCAGAGCAAATTTGGGACTTGACCTAAAGTTGGGGTTTTTTTGTGGGAATTAGGCCGTTTGTTTTATGTTTTTTTGTTGAGAAGCAAAAGGTAATAAGGGGCGGCACATCTACTAGAGTTTGATTGAATTCTTTGAGGTTTACATCGCGATGCCTGGCACGTCTTTGAGCCGATAAATTGTGGTGAGATTTATGGGCCTAATTCTGTAAAAAAAACCCCAACTTTAGGTCAAGTTTCAAATCTGCTCCGAACTTTTTTTTATCTTAAAAAAACCCCAAACTTTAGGTCAAGTCCCAAATCTGCCCCGAACTTTTTTTTGTCTTAAAAAAAACCCCAAACTTTAAGTCTAATCCCAAATTTTGTTTTTTGTAAAAAAAATCACCAAAATTCAATTTATTTTCAAAATATATACCCCGTGATCCAGTCCCAACTTGATGTGGCATTCCATGTCAATAACAAATCCACATCAACAAAGTAATGGGGTTTTCTTTTTAGATAAAGAAAAGTTCTGAGCAAATTTAGACTGAACCTAAAAATTAGGTTTTTTTTAAATTAAAATTTTTTTTGGGGATGGATTTATTATCGTCCCTAACTTTCATATCCTATAATGGTTTTATT